AGTTTTTGACGCTTCGGCTTCCAGCTCAACCGGTGTTTCGTTAAATCAGGTCCTAATGACAGGGCCTAAATTGCAAAGAAATATTGAAGATATTATTATGCGCTTCAGGATTCACAAGATCGTCTTCACCTGTGACATCAAACAAATGTATCGTCAGGTGCGCATGGACGATGCTGACTGCAAATATCAAACTATATTCTGGCGCGAATCTCCTGACCAACCTCTTAAGGAATACGAGCTTACCACTGTTACCTACGGTGTTTCAAGCTCTGCCTTCCAAGCAATCCGTGTTATACACGAGCTTGCTTCTCTTAATTCCAATCAACATCCAGAAGCTTCGCAAGTGCTGCTAAACGACACTTTCGTCGATGATATCGTCAGCGGGTGTGATTCCGTGGAATCTGCTAGGGAATTACAGCAGGTACTGGTCAGTATCCTATCACAGGGCGGTTTTCTCTTGCGTAAGTGGTCGAGTAACTGTAAGGAAATCATAAGCGACTTTCCTGCTGATCATTGCGAGCAGCCCTATCTGTTTGAACACGACTGCGATAACATATTTAAAGTCTTAGGCATGGCCTGGAGTGCTTCTAATGATAGTTTTATTTATAGGGTTGCAGATATGAACAATACACTCACCATGCGAGGCATACTTTCTAATATAGCCCGACTCTATGACCCTTGCGGTTTTCTAGCACCTGTAACCTTCTATGCGAAACATGTTATGCAGAGGCTCTGGGTTCTCAAATGTGGTTGGGACGATTCTCTACCTTCTGATATTCAAAAGGCTTGGCTATCTTTTATGTCAAATTTTCATCATCTTAACAAAATTGTTATTCCACGCTGGGTACTCACTGATCAACTAAGCGATTGTGAACTCCACGGTTTCAGTGATGCTTCCGAACGCGGGTACGCAGCTTGCGTCTACCTGCGCGTCAAAAATTCTTATGGTAAAACTTCGGCCCAACTAATGTTGGCGAAGTCTCGAGTTGCTCCTCTCAAGCAAAAGCTCACGATTCCCAAATTGGAATTGTGCGGCGCACATCTTCTCGCTCGCTTACTTGAGCATATTATCAACACTCTAAAACATAAAATTAAAATCAGCAGCACAGTGGCCTGGTGTGATTCCAGCATCGTGCTCACATGGCTTAAATCTTCTCCTCATACTTTACAAACGTTTGAAGGAAATCGAGTGTCCCAAATTCAAGCTCTAATACCAAGAGCTATTTGGAGATACGTTCCATCATCACTAAATCCTGCTGATGCCGCTAGTCGAGGTCTCTACCCCTCTGAACTAGCTAAAACCATCTTGTGGTGGTCTCCACCTTGGCTTGAAGGTGATTCTTCGACATGGCCTGGAGACACACCTACATTGAGCCAAGCGAATTTACCTGGTCTGAAATTACCATCCCCTATATCACACATTGCTAAGGTTAGCGTCGATTTACCTTTCTTGCACAAATTCAGTTCCCTTCGCAAGCTACAGGCTGTTGTAGCTTGGTGTAAGCGATTTTTGCATAATTCACGCAATCCAACGAAGCGCCACACGGGATCACTATCTGTTTCCGAATTGAACGATAGTTTGAATACCATTATATCAACTGTACAGTCGGAAGAATTTTCTTCAACAATTTCGTTGTTGCGTAATGGGAAACCTCTCAAAGATAGCCTTCGACGTCTTAATCCATTTCTTGACTCTCAAAATTTGCTGAGAGTAGGTGGTCGGATTGTAAACTCATCTTTATCATTTAACGCTAAACATCCACTTTTGCTTCCGAAGGCACATCACGTTACTCGCTTGCTCATTGATCATTATCACCGGGCATTCCTACACCCTGGTGTCAATACTCTTTTAAATCTACTGCAACGTAAATTTTGGATTTTATCAGCACGCCGTGCAATCCGTCGGCAAATATTTCAATGTCAACATTGCTATAGATTACGTCCCAAGGCGACTGAACCTTTCATGAGTGATTTACCTCCTTCTCGAGTCACATCTTGCAGACCCTTTCAAAGAGTTGGAGTGGATTTTGCAGGTCCTTTTCTTCTGAAAACCTCGCGACTGCGCAACGCTCGATCTGTTAAGGCATATTTATGTTTATGGATTTGTTTCACCACCAAAGCTGTCCACTTGGAACTGGTTTCCGAGCTGTCGACAGACGCCTTTTTAGCTTGCTTTGATCGCTTCGTATCGCGAAGGGGTCTTCCCACCGATGTTTACAGTGACTGTGGTACCAACTTCGTTGGAACTAACAACTACTTGAAAGAAGTTACACAATTACTCAAAAACTCGCATGATGACATAAAACGTTCATTAGCCAGTCGACAAATTGTATGGCATTTTAATCCTCCTGCCAGTCCACATATGGGCGGTTTATGGGAGAGCGCGATTAAATCTGCAAAACTTATTCTTCTTCGTGTTATAGGCGATCGCTCACTTCTCTTTGAAGAGCTCATCACTGTTTTTAGCAAAATAGAAGCCGCGTTGAATTCTCGACCGTTATATCCCCTAAGTAGCGATCCTAACGATCTAGAAGTCTTAACGCCCGGCCACTTCATCATCGGTCAGCCGCTATTGGCTTTGCCTGAGCAAGACTTGGAGCAGATAAATTTTAATACTCTCAAACGATGGCAGCTTTTGCGCCAGATTACTCAGCACTTCTGGAGGCGTTGGCAGGCTGAGTACCTACATACTCTACAGCAGCGACCTAAATGGCTTACCAAGATTTCAAATTTTCAAGTTGGTGATTTAGTTCTTATCAAGGATCCCAACTTGCCACCGCTTCACTGGAAGAAAGCTCGTGTGACTCGCATTTGCCCGGGTTCTGACGGCACTGTTCGCGTCGTAGAATTAAAAACTTCTACTGGCACTCTACTTAGACCAGTAGTCAAGCTTTGCCCTTTGCTGCCATCTTTCAATTAATAAAAACAATACTTATTTTTTTTTGTTTAGGTAGTAGTAATAGCTTTAGTTCTAGTAAGCAACATATTTTTTTTTACTCTTTTGTTTACGTCAACCTTTTAGCAAATTTCAAAGGGGTTCGTTCAAATGAAAGAGCTAAGCCGCTCTTTGGGGGGCGGTATGTTAGGTACACATTCTTTACTTGACATCACTATACATATCTTCCTACCGTCACATCCTAAATTCCCTCGATATTCCTTTACCTGGAGGTAGTACTCAAAAAAAGTTTCAACGGCCGCGTACGGCGATGGGACGAGCTCCGCATTCTCCCCATCAAATTTAAGACTACGCGTCAAAGTTATCGTGCGAAACGCAATAAACTATCTTATTTTACAATTACAAACTTTAAGCAAATCACCCGGTGTTGTGTGAAAGTGATTGGTGTACAAAACGCGACTTTAAAACCCACGCGGGACAACGGCGAACCAGGTAGTCCATCCACCCTTTCTATCTTTACCCAACACGTACTTTATTAATCCCTCCACGACCGCGGACACGCCGGCGTTACAGTTAACAATAGATTTCTTAGAAAATTACCAGAATGTGCTAAAAGTGAAATCGCATATAAAAAATTGTAAAGTAGAATTAATTAAACAGTATCTATCAAAACTAACTTGTTTCGAAAGAAACTTGGACCACAAATAACTTGTTCAACGTTTTTTAGTTTTATTTTCCACCAATTGCTTCGGGTTAAGTAACCGTTGCTGTAACAACGATTTATTATTATCTAATGTACTTCCGTCGCTGTCTTATTTATCCAATCCATTTTTGGTTATCTTAAGATGTAGATGTAATAGCACAATCTATATATATAATAGTCTAAGATAAACACCTTTTTCTCCTCAGTTTGTCTACCGATTTTGTTTTTTTTTTGTTTAGTTTAGCTATTGAAGGGCTGTAGGGTTATCAGTAAAAGGTAATTAGAAACAGTTTTAAGTTATATTCATATATATTTTCTTCAAATTTTCAATAATGATTATAGTCGAATTTTGATGAAATGAAATAAACTTTATTCAATTAGACTTATTACAAGTACTTTTGCATCGTCAATTTAATAAAAGCTCAAAAATAGTGTATTCGATCGAGAGAAAGATTTTAGTGCGTCTTATGAAATATCTTTGCTAATTGTGAATATGCATATTCTTTTCAATAAATAGCAAAATAAAACGTTTTAAATGATTTTGGTACAACAAATATTAATATTTAATAGAATATTTTTTTAATACAACAATTGATATATATATATATATATATATATATATATATATATATATATATATATATATATACACACACATATATATATATATATATATATATAGCCATTTCTAGGCCTATAAATTTTTGATTATATTCTCTCTGTGTCATTTAGTAGATACAGCCTGTTGGCTATTAAATGTAACGTAATAAAACCTTAACTTGATATTATTTACCAGTTTTATTGGGCTTTAAATATAATTTTATTATGGGTCTTTTAGTACTTGGTGGCATTTAATTAGTCTTAATTTATTTGTCGCTCTATTGTTGCCGTTTAAAACTCTATATTAATAATTTTGATATTATAATATTATATTAATCTAATCTTTTGTAGTTTACTATTGCTTATTATTTATTATAGTTTTTTAGATTAGGTAAAATCCTTTTCTTGCCAAACCCATGTGTTTACATACTAAAATAAAAACTATGAAAATTAGATGAACGGTTTTTGAATTATATGCACACAAACGTATAGACAGAGAGACATTGTTCTCCTAGTTTTTTTTTGTAAGTGGCTTCATAGTTTTACGATACTGTGAATTTTCTACATATTAAATGCATTTTAACAAATTCATTAATAAATCTATTATGAATAAATCTATTTTTTCGGATTTTTTCCCAGATTTATTTCGATTTTTGATTCACGACGTTGGTTCGTGACGGATTTGCTGTACAGCAATCATGGTATCAGAGTCAGACTCGAGACCCTCCCATGAAAAGATAGTTTTATTTAAAATGTTAATATTCGCGTAAATCTAAGAAAAAAAAATTATTATGATTTCAGGTCAAAGTAACGCAGAAACAGCCTAACAGCAACGATGAGAAGTTTCTTAGGACTCTCACCAAAGGCGACTTCTTCGGCGAGAAAGCATTACAAGGGTAAGCAAAAACAATTTGCATAATTATTATAATTAGGAATCAAAGTTGTGAAAATTGTTTTGTTTCACATTTCATGCAAAATTATTCAAATATTAAAATATTTTAATTTTAATGAAGAGAGGTTTTTAATTGATAAATAGTAACTCAGTGGTAGCGCGCTGCTTTGGAAAACTAAGTGAAGCGGGTTCAAATCCCGGAAAATTATCAGGGGTACGACCTTTGATATTTTCATGTGCGAATCATTTTCAAAATGATTACCACATGTCTTATGGTGAAGGAAAACCTCTTAAGAAAATCTGCACGTTTGAGAGAACCTAGTAAGTTTTCGAAAGACGTGTTAAGTCCGCCAACCCGGACTTGGCCAGCGTGGTGGACTATGGCCCAACCCTCTTGCATTGGTGACTCCGTGCCCAGAAGTGAGAGGTAAAAAGGGCTTAATACGTACGAGATTATGGAGTAAAATATAGAAAATATGTTAGATACGAGTTTGAGTTTTATAGCAATAAAAATAATTATAATATGAAATGTACTTCTTTAATATTATCTGATAAAAGCTAAAGTAAAAGTTAGTTTTGATTTTATAATTCGTGGTAAGACGTTAGTGTTGTTGCGGTTGTTGAGATTTCTCTCATCTTACTCTTACATTATGAAACGCTTTCAAGAGCAACGAAGTATCTTTTTATCTGTTATACATATATTTATTCAAATCAAAATAACATACTTAGTGCATTTTTGTATTAATTAAAATTTATGACCCGGTAAATGCTAGTTTAGTTACATTAGAAAGTTTTTTCGCCTTACGCTCAAGTATCGATGTTATTACAAACAAATCTCACTAGATTTTAGAAATGATGATGATGATGAATATATTTATGTAAATGAAATATTAAAAGATGTAATGACTTTTACATTTTAAAATAAAAAAAATAATATATTGCTTATTATTTAGCAGCTATTACTCGATGTATAGTGTAATAGTGGACATCGACATTAGGTACAATCTGTTCAGAATCCTAAAAAAATATGTATGTACCGACTCATATATATAGATAAAAAAATATAATATATTTTTTATTTTTATTAAATTTCATTCACATAATATTTAAAAAAAAAATATAAAATATATTTTTTTTAAATATCACTGTAAAGATGTAAGTACTATTTTATTATTTCAGAGATGATCTGCGAACGGCGAACATTGTCTGTGACTCACCAGATGGCACCACTTGTCTGGTCATCGACCGGGAGACTTTTAACCAACTGATTTCTACCCTCGATGAGATTCGCACTAAATATAAGGATGAAGGCGATGATAGACAAAGGTACGGTTTTTTTAACTTCCTAATAGATTAAAAGGATCCGCCCAATCTTTTATTTACTTGAATTAATTTAAAAATTATGAGATATAGACAGAGAAGGCTTATTAAAGTCGCCTATACAAATATTTAATAATTGTTTAACCTGTCAACGATCATAATACGTAAATTTAATTAATATATCTATATTCAACGATTTAAACACTGTAAAAAATCAAGAATCTACAAATACCTGATATGGAGCAACATGTTTTAGCTAACCCTATATAATATATAGCATATGCTATCACGAATCGGAAAGACAATAAACAAGCATTTGAAGCGTTATTAAATAATATATTAATTATATGTTTTTCATTGCATAACAATATACAGTTTTCATTGACGTAAATAAACGCTTTTCATGTCAAGTTCATAAAAATATCTTAACCTTCTTAGGCTTCACATAAGATTACAATAGTATTGTTACGTTTTGAAACATCGAATCCATTTTCGGTGTCGCTTTTGTCTTGTTAGTCTTATAATATAAATATATGTAAATGTTCTATTTCTGTTGACGCTAACTCGGGATTGTTCTACGGTGAGTAATTCTTATAAATAGAAATATTTTGTACGTAGCATTTTTATATACATATAAATACCTTTAAGACATTTAAGTATTATAAATATATATACTTTAATATGATGCACAGGTACTATATATATAAATATAAATTGTCATTACAATATTTATAGATAGAGTCTTTATATCTCAGTATCGATCTTGATTTTTTTTATATAAATTATTTTTCTTCTATTCTTGCCGGAACTGATATAATCTAGCATCCGGTCCAGTACGTTGAGTTTTGGAACGGCCGTATACGTGTTGGTAATATACCTTTAAAGCATATTAGAAAGAATTGTTGGACCGCAACTTATTTACTGTATTTCATTTAATAATTTGCCCCAAGCAAGACTCAACTTCCTAGTAGATATTCGTAATACGTCATCTTAGTTACCTAATTGTTAAGTTAAAAAATGTCTTACCACAACTTATTTGCTCAAATATATCCTATCCTCGAGACTAATTTGCGTTTAAAAATTTAAATAAATATAAAACTTCCTATATTGTAAATTGCTTCTGCAGCGAAATAATATCAAAATATGAAGTCTTTAGTGTGCTAGTTAAAATCTTACCACTTAAACTGTATTTTGCAGACATGTTACATAATAATAGTTTGAAATTAGATCGCAAGCTAGTAATAGGTAGTGTTGCGAACACCACGTTACTTAAAAGTAATCGTATTTTTAAAAGAAAGGGTTATGATAGTGTAATTTATATAAGTTTCGTTTGAAAGATATGTTTGTTTGTTGATTAGTGTTACCTTTTAACGTCTCAGCACCACCACAAATCGACATTAATTTAGTTTATCAATAACCTTCGTGTCATCTCCATTCTACTTGATATTGGCGAAGTAATCTGTGCTCAACTGTCACGCTTTGAAGCCATTAACAAGAAAATTGAACTGAATAATTAAAAAAAAACTATTTATTCGGGTTTTTTTCGCGGATTTATTTTGATTTTTGGTTCCCGACGTTTCGAATGCAATCATGGTTACGAGAGAGATTAAGGTTTTAGACGTTTCAAAGGCACTATATAGTATTTATTAGTAATTTAGTTTACACAATTGTCTGGTAGATAGCTATATATACGTACTATATGTTATTCATTATTTCATCCGACAGTAATGTGACTGTATGATGAGGGCTTGCTAGTAATAAAATAAGAATAAAATTTCTTCATGTGTTATCGGTTGCCTTTATCACGTATCAATTGTATGTGCAGAGTTCACAATGGTGCGATAAAACCGCGAGAATCATAATGATGGCGTTTAAATAGGCTTTCGCAAAAACTTATTTTCTATGCCAAGGAAAGTTAATATAATAACCTGCTTCATATTTACTTCCACTGTCGATGATTTCTTTATGTATATATTGGATGGTTGAGAGGGAAAGTGCTCTATATTATAGACTTTTATTAATTTTATTTAAAGATTTTATATCTACTTTATACTTACAACCCCGCTGTTGTGATGCTTTGTTCTCCTTGGGTTATAAAATTAAGCAACTATGATAAATATTTTCTAACATATATTTTATGTACACTACTATGTTTTAATGTACAACAAAAATTTTCTGTAGTAACAAAACCATCCAATGGTTTGTCATCGTTCGTTGCTAAATTTATAATAAATAATTTCTATTTAGCTATTGATGACAATTAAACTTTTGTTTTTCTATTACTCCAAAACAGACACTTTATAAAAGTATATACATAAAATTATATAATTATAGACTTTATCTAATTATTATATCTATACGTTACAGACTCAACGAAGAATTCGCCAATTTGCGTCTGTCAGATTTGCGCATCATCGCCACATTAGGTATAGGAGGATTTGGTCGAGTAGAATTAGTGCAAATTCAAGGGGATGCCAGCAGATCCTTCGCTTTGAAACAGATGAAGAAGGCCCAGATCGTTGAAACCAGACAACAACAGCACATCATGTCAGAAAAAGAGATAATGTCCGAAATGAATTGCGAATTCATTGTGAAGTTATACAAAACGTTTAAAGATCGTAAATACTTGTACATGCTGATGGAAACTTGTCTCGGTGGAGAGTTGTGGACTATTCTGAGAGATAGAGGTACGAGTTTTTGTATATTTAAGTACAGAAACAAATTGACAGATTTATCTACTATCTATTATGTATCTACCTTGATTTAAAATTTCTAAATAATATTAAAGCTTCCGAGGGTAGTTTAAAAAAAACATACTTAAAAAATTATATAGTAACCTTAGAATATGACAAATGTGTGATGTTATTTCCTGAAATATTTCATATACTTAATTATTATTCGCGTATTTTTAACATATTACCTACGTGAATAACTTATCAAAATATTTCTTTCCTCTTTTCAGGACAATTTGATGACTCCACAACGAGATTCTATACTGCATGCGTTGTAGAAGCCTTCCACTATTTACATTCTAGGAATATTATATACAGGTATTTTTACGTTTTTCAGTTAACTTATGCTTGTCTGTAAATAATTCTAGTCTAATAAAAAAGTTAGTACCTAAACGTAGACCCTTAACCAAATCAAGGCAAAAATTAGTGCCAAAAATGAGATAGAATCAAGAAATGCGTTTACTTGTTTTCGTGACTTTAGCAGAAGAGTTTATAAAACTGTCGTATTAGGTTTAAATTCTCATAGTAATTGGTTTTGGCGAGTTTTCCCACATTGGCTTTCAGTTGCTTTTATTTAAAAAAATAAATAAATTATGATTAAAAAAAATAGTTATGCGTATGAATTGTGACTCTACACCAAACAGGCCTTTTGAAGAAAGTTAGTTGACATTATAATTTGTTTATATAATACAATAAATTATTGTGTGTTAAAGACAATACGTGACGATACAATATGACGTATGATATCAAATATAAGGTTTTATTATTATTTAATATTTTTTATGTTTATCTATACGTATAATATAATTGTAACTAAGCCGAAACTGTACATTAAATATTTTTTGTAAAATCTTATTGAAATAAACATTATTATCGATATAGAGGCCGAATCTATAGTTTTTAGAATTTTTGTCTGTCTGTCTTTTACCGCATCACAGAAGAACCACTGGAGGGATTTTGATGAAATTTGGTATAGTGATAGCTGGTTATCCGGGTCAACATATAGGATTGGTACTTTTTGCCGCGGGAAAATGTCTAATTTCTGAGAAAAAATACAAAACTACAATGTAAGAGTATACTAATATGTAAAACCTAAGAATTTGGTTTTTGGTCTTCTGAACGCGGGCGGAATCGCGGGCAGTGCTAGTATGAAAATAAAGTTATAAACCTTACACGTCTTCCGTGAACCGAGTATTATTATTTTACGACACTACAACACTTGATATAATATTTAATATTTATATTAGCATTAACATGCTTTGAAGTTTTAAAGGTTAAATAAAGATTGCGCTTGGCATTGGTTTTTCTACGTTAAAGAAATATGGTACATATGTTCTTAAATTTAAATGTCATTTTCGTATATCATTTTCTAGTGTAATTACTATTATAATACATTAATTGTCTCAAAACTGTGCAAATTAATGTCATGAATCGAATGAAATAACTAGTTTTATATGCAAATTATCGATTAATTTTTTTATAAAATGATATTAAATAAGCAACTATAAATATTTCTTTTGACATACTTTTTCATCGACGCACACTGTTAGTTTATATAATTATAAAAATCGATGCGTGTATGTTTATTCCTTATGGATGCCAAAACGGCTGGAGCGATTTTGATAAAATTTTCAGGCAATCTTCAGATTAACCAAGCTGAACGTTATTGAAGCCCGGGTACTGCTAGTACAGTCTACAACACAAATCACATTGTTACATGTATTAATACCAATTATATTTCTTTTCAGGGATCTCAAACCAGAGAATCTTCTACTGGACTCCAAGGGCTATGTGAAGTTAGTGGACTTCGGGTTCTCTAAGAAGCTGCAAGCCAGCAGGAAGACGTGGACGTTCTGTGGCACGCCGGAGTACGTCGCGCCTGAGGTCATCATGAATAGGGGGCACGATATTAGCGCTGATTATTGGTCTCTAGGTAAGCTCGTTTTGAATTAAATGTAAATTCTGTGTATAATTTTTGAAGTGAAACTTCTTTAGAATCATTGTGATTTGAAACTCGATGAAACGGAAATGCGACACTAGAAAGAGACAAACATGTAAATATATAGGATTAAGCTAGCGAGCGAATGAGATAGAATACCTTAGACAGGAAGTGAAACATAATACTGAATATTATGTTATGTATTAAATGTTAAATAAAGTGTAAAATAACTTTTAAATTTGGTAAAAAAATTTATTACTTATTAAAATGAATATATATTACTGTGGTATGAACTTGCATAAATTAAATAAAAGTTATTATGAGTTGCCATGGTAACCGTTGTTATTTTTTGATAAATATATAATATTATATTCTTTCCGTATATGATATTCTATAAATATATGTATGTAATATGCCTAATATGTCTTATTTAATAATTGATTTGTTTTAATTTAGTTGCGATATTTGCCAAAGAAGTTTTACTTCAACCGCGTGTAAAGGTTACACGCACCCATTTTTTTTTCTCTACGCAGCTATCCCAAATCAGTCAATCTTATTCTATCTTTAAGATAGAAGGATTATGCGGTTTGAAGGATAATGTATAAAAAAACCTGTTCCGAAAGCGGATGCAGTAAGGCACTTCTAATGATTTTAACTTTTATTTAGAATCTTGTTAAGAGTTTGATAGAATAATTCGTAAGGTTTAGTCTTGTTAGTGTAGCTTCATAAATGATAAAACCAAATGCTAGTCAATATTCTCATCCAAATTCCCTTCCAGGTTAACAGATAGGTCATTTTAGAGTACCTTATTAGTTTAAAAGCGTTATTGAAACCATCCATATTTACTTTCGTCACATTTCCAAAATAATAATATATAATCATTACAATATTTCAGGTGTACTAATGTTCGAACTACTGACCGGGTCCCCGCCGTTCACGGGAGCGGATCCTATGAAGACGTATAACAAAATCCTCAAAGGTATAGACGCGGTAGAGTTCCCCCGCAGCATCACACGCAATGCTGCCAACCTCATCAAGAAACTGTGCAGAGACAACCCTGCTGAGCGACTTGGATACCAGCGAGGGGGGATCACCGAGATACAGAAGCATAAGTATGTGATTTTGATTTTTTACTGATTTCAAAAAAGGAGGGTGTAGTTTTTTTTGTAGAGAAATAGGTTCTGGTTTTTAATGAATAACCTTACGGCCTACGGGTGGTCCCCTATACATTCTGAGTAATGCTTTTATTAATGTGTATATATATATATATATATATATATATACACATTAATAAAAGCATATATATATATATATATATATATATATATATATATATATGGGTTTTGATGACATACTGGTTTATTTCTTCTTATTAATGTTATTATTTAAATTTATTTCTAGCGTTACAATTCTTACAAACACGATTGACGACATATTCTATATTGCTAACAAGGTTGAAACAAAGACAAGGAATTAGTATTGCCTTAGGCATAGAGAAAATCCTAACAGCTTTTACTCCTAAAAGTGAAATTACTATGTTTAAAGTGTTTTTGAAGCTGCTGTAACTTGAATTTCAATGTTTAAACAAATTGACATTCTGAACGTATCCTCATTCAGAAACTATTTAGCTTTAAAATGGCTCCTAAAGAAAATATATGTTACAGCTCAACATATTTCTAAATAGTTAAATTGAATGGTTTTTCTATATACATCACTTATATGTTGTGTTGTAATTATGAAGTTAACACTTAAACCCAGAACTATCTAAAATTGATTACTAAGGTGTATTAGACACTGAATTTTTAACGTCCCAATGCTGGGCACGGACCTCCCTTCTATATGAGGGGGATCAGGCCATAGTCCACCACGCTGGACAAGTGCGGGTTGGCGGACTTCACATGTCTTTCGAAAACTTGCTAGGTTCTCTCAGACATGCAGGTTTCCTCACGATTTTTTCCTTCACCGCAAGGCAAGTGGTAATCATGTTAGAAAATGATTCATACATGAAAATATCAGAGGTGCGAGACCCGGGATTTCATCGCATCACTCGGTTTCCCAAGCGAGCGCGTAACAACTGGGCTACCACTGCCTATGGCTACCATTGCCTATATTATTACTAAGGTATAACCTCATATTTACAATTTACTTTCTAATTTCCAGATGGTTCGACGGCTTCAATTGGGAAGGCTTGGCGCAACGCACGCTAGACCCTCCCATCACACCTGTTGTCAAGTCCGCAGTGGACACTCACAACTTTGACCAATATCCCCCCGACGCAGACGAACCACCCCCAGATGACCTATCTGGGTGGGATGCTACCTTCTAGTAGAAGGTCGATACAAACTGGAACTTTAGACTTAAATTATATGATCTTTAAGAAAATTAGAGAAATCTTTAATTTTAACCATGTACAGACGATGAAAAAAGTGATGAAAAGTAGGTATGTTACAAATCTGTTAAATTTGTACGATGGAATTAGAGCTGAATCTTTTAGAAATGGCTTTTGCCGATTTGGATAAAAGAAATGATTGTAAAGTATCGTTATATTGAAAGTACTTGTTATGTATACAATTCATGATTATGTATGTTTGTGGTATTAAAGTTCACTAATTTATGCGACTGTACTTTGTGAAAAATGCAAGAAAATATGCAAATATTGAGAGAAAAATTACATTATAATTGAATTCAGTGTTTTATACATATTAGATATATATAAAGTATATTTAAAATCGTAATATTTTACGAGAATAGTAGGCATAATCTTTTTGAATACTAATTATTGCCACTCGTCGCTAGATGGCGTTAGCAAACAAAACGCGTTTTAACATTAAATATATAGTATTTAAGCTCTCAATATTTTGCTAGGTTGTGTTGACACGGGATTTGTATCCTATATAATCGAATATGGCGTTCATCTTAGAATGAAATAAGAAATATCTCATTTAGTTTTATAACAGGTGAAAATTGCCATTAGTAGTTACAGCGCTTGCCAAGTAACCCATTATTTTAATTATTCTGCATATATCCATCATTAGCCAAAAAGATAATACTGCGAATCGTTTATTGGGAAACCTATACACATTTGTATTTTATTTAGAATCCAATATGATTTACGTAACAAAAGAAAATAGCAAGTTTCAGTAATACCAAAATGACGTTACCAGAATCTTTAATTTTACCTCTTTATGTATATATAATATACATTTACTGTATGTTAAATACGTAAAACATAATAAAAAAATCACCTTTAATGTTACTTGACAAATGATTCTAATTTTTTTTTCATAATATACAATAGTTTTATGACAAATAACAATAAAAGCGGTAACTTAATGATTTATCTAAATAAAGTTGTGATATTTAATATGTTGCCTTGTTGGTGCTCAAATGCAAATATATATAAAATCGAAATTAAATATTGACCCAATAATTGTAATGTGTAATGGAAAATTATTAAGGTTTTGTAAAATATATTGTTATATTTTTTTTTATTCAGACACTATTTTGACTATAATGACTAATAGTTTGTACTTATGTAACTTAATATACAGATTAAATAATAAAATATAAATACAGATAAAGAATATTAATGCGAATGGAGTATAAAAATAAATTACACTAAATATATAATTTCATTATTGAATTAGGTAAGATGCACGTTTATGTATGTTGTTTTATTGTTTACATGTTTAAAAAAAATGTACTATAGCTTATTAGAATCATGATCTTGATAGAGAAAAAATTGTGTATTAAAATAAAATAATCAGTTATATTTAAAATATCTTTACAGATAATAATATTTTATAAGATGGTCAAATTGAACTGTAGACAGTTCGATTGTAAAACTTTTTCATTGTAAAACCAACGTTATTTAGATATTAAAGCATGTCATTCATTGGTAGCTATCCATACATGACGTAAATGTAAGAAAAATAACCCCTCAACATGAAGTCAATTATTATAAGTCTTCCTTGAGTATATTGTAAATATAAATATAGGTATCCATTATATGAATTTTCATAAATAACTTTATAGATATTTAGTTAAATTGTAACTATTGTAAGGACATTTATTTTTGTAATCTTAGACTATGAATAATGTTACGTGAAACTTTATGGATTTTGAAAAATGTAAAATACATTATTTCGATTAAAATCTTTTTTTCTTTTTCTCACCTTCTATATTTATTATTTTTAAATAGTACCTAAATTATCATACATGCAAAAGTTTGTATATGTGTGTATGTTTGTAGCTCTATCTCGCTGAAATTGGTGAACGGATTTGCATGAAATGAAGTACACAGATAGACATATGACATGGAGAAATTCAAATACAGCTAGGGATGTACCCGAACGTAACGGGGATGTTTTCATATAGTGTTTATTGGCTTATTAAGATATATCGTGTATTGTAAAAATATATTTCAAATTAAGAATAATTAGTAGACCCTACCCTATGAAGTTTCCAAACGGTAACCAGTAATAATACAAACAGACGCTTCAACGTTAACTTACATTTGTAAGTTCAAAAATAATTAACTTCTATACAGACTTTCTTCTCCAACTTAACCTCGTTATGAGATGAATTTTCAAAATTACTTTATTATTAGTTATTAATTATTTGTTATACAAATAACTCTTGTATAATTTTTTCAGTTTAAGCAAACCTAGATCCCGTACTTTATGAATATATAAATAAACTAGTTTTCAGAAAACAAAAGTCCGCCAACTCGTATTTGAACCAGTGCGGTGGGCAGAGGCCCTTCTCGCATTGAAGCCCTGTGCCCAGCAGTGGGATATTAAAAGAGATCTGATATATTAAAAAAAATAAATCAAAAATAAGATATCACGAAAAAATATAATATTTTAATCTCTTAATGATTCATTGAAGAAATCTCAATATTAATAATTCCTACAATATACATAATATGTAGAGTTACTAATTATACAAAAACGGACATAAAGTGTTTCATTATTTATTAATTAATTAATTATTTTAATTCATTATGTACATTACATAAATAATCTTTATTTATTATAATGCACAAAGTTTTATGTATTTTACTCAGTGAATTTGGTTCTCAGTAACCTAACAAAGGTTTATCAATCAGAAACGTACCTAAATGTAGGAATCCGACGCTAGGCCGGTCGCAACTAACAGACTGCGAGGTTAGTTAGAATTCTATAAATTCTCACGTCCTTTGTATTTTGTGGTTCAAGTCAAGAAAGAGAGTTTTTTAAGTTTTATAAAAAATAATATTATAAAACATCTTTATATTACTTCAATAAAATTTTCAAATTGAATTGTTGATCATGGAAGAATGAGCTTCTTCCTCTTCTCCCTGCCCATTTCCCAATCACTTGGGGTCGACGCAGTACATCTTCAGTGTACTGCTGATAGGATTTGGCAAAAGTTTTACGACCGGCCGCCTGCCTGACGTCAACCCTCCTTGGGAAAGAATGAGCTAATATATACATATAATATAATAAAAAGTGGTATTTAACTCTTCTTATTTTTGTATGGAGCATTATATTGTTTAATATCTTTATACCAATATATGTATTATAATAAATCTGTCAGAGTGTTAAGTTTGTACATTTAATATATTTATCTAATTTATTTGCAACTTAGTACTTTGAACTAGCGACTTACCCTCGTTCCGCTTCGGTGTGCCCCTACAAGGGACAATTCATACATATAACACTGGATAGGCATTCAATTTTCGCAAATTTTTTATACATTATACGACTGGAAAATTAGAAAATAGCCTTTTTCTATTGGTGAAAACCGTATGAAAACCCATACAGCAGTTTCCAAGTTCAGCCCGAAAAAACACAAACTTAATTTAATTTATGTTATACTAGCGTTTTCCTGCGGCTCCGCCTGCATGTATCATATACTAATACCTCCGAAACAAGCTACATCTTATGGTATGAGTATTATTCCGATCGGTTCAGTAGTTATCGCAGTATAACCAAACAAAAAAATCGGCTCTCCATTTATTAGTATAGATTATGTATGTAGTGATAAATTGAAGTCAAAATAACAATTCGTGTTACAGCTGATGATCTTCGGATTCTATAGTGACAACGCTTTTATATCCATAAAAATTATGTTATGTAAAAGTTGTATATTTTATACATATATGATATATGTACATATATGTAAAAATATAAGGTATATATAATATGTTTACAAAAAGAGTAATTTAAATTTTTGACACATATTTTTTGTACCATACAACATTGCATCCCAACGCGGAATTCCGCTGGCTGCTATCTCCGAGCTGTCCTTCCTACCCTGTCCTGTAATAAACTTGCTCCCGGATATGCGGTAAATAGTCTATTGAATATGCCTTCGAGTGCAATTTTCAACATTTATTAGTGCTTGCCTCTGGGGCATTTTTTGCAACGTTTTTAATATGAAACTTAGTTCATTCTATCGGATATTAGCATTGTGAGTAATATATATATATATATTAAAACTTATGTTTTAAGCGTGTTAAATTATAGTGTTGTATGTTAAATAATATGACTTTAAAAACAAAGTTAAAATACTTAATATATGAATAAAATACACATCAAAGTCTCATAGGAACTTAGCTAAAGTAAGAAGTAGACAGGATCTCGTGTCCGTATTTAAAAAACTAGTCAATGGATCAAGTACATATTTATTACTAATAAATTATAAGCATAGCATACATATATAAATAGGTAAAGATAAAAAAGCTCAGAACCTTTTTCTCCTCTGTCCGTTAACCATTTTTTTTCCTCTTTTTTTTGCTAAGTTTCTTTGGAAAAGGTTATTTTTTTATATAGATAAATTAATTTTATTCATAAACATTTTCCTACAATTTTCAATAATATGTATGGTAGAATTTCGATCAGTAGACGAACACTAGTAATATTATACAGCTAATTAAAGAGCAAGACATGCGACGTGTAAACTGGAGCGAATAATGGAGCTTAATCCACTGAGAGTTCGGTGATGGAAATTTGGGTCGCGCGGAATGAGCTTACCTTAGTGTGTCACGTGAACATATTAGCCGTTGAAGAGTCAATTTCTTCATGGAATACGATTACCGTAAGGTAAACTATGCTTAAAGTTAACCTTACCTGTTTGGTTTTTTTTCTAATATAATAAATATGGTTTTATAAAGCTACTTCCGGGGTGAAAACTATCCCATATCCTTCCCAGGGTCTCAAACTATCTCCATATTAAATTTTTTCTAAATTAAGCGTGAAAAGGTAACAGACAGACAGACAGACAGACAGAGTTACTTTCGCATTTATATATTAGTATAAATTAGTTATGAATTAGTAA